AGAACATCATGTATCAATAACCATAACCATAAATCTTTCATTAAAAATCGTTATACTAAATATCCTTTGAAATTCCCGCAGTGAACAGAACAAACTCCCGAAAAAAAGTAATACTCCAAGACGCATGTCCAACCTCTCGTTAAAACTTTTCTCGGACCAAATAGGCCATCCTCATTGTCATTATAAAACATTAGGTTAGGGTAGCTAATAAAGATTGATTTCCTTCAAAAGGGTGCTTGCGGGTAAAAAGGTGCACCGGCATAATCGAAACCTGTTTCGAGACTATTTTGAGGGTAAGGTTCTATGGGATGTTAGTTCAAGTTCCTTTTGAGCGAAAGCCATGAGTGACGGAGCGAGAGATGGGGGTATCAATCGATGAGCAACACACAAGAAACGAAAGTGGATATTAATGACTTACCCCAGAAAATTGAATCGAATAAATCCATCGGTGACATGTTTAATGTCTGTTCTACAGACTGCATATCACCACTCATATTGTTCATAGGCACTTGTTGCGCATAGTCCATACTGTGTGTCTGTTAGTGAACAACCTCGGATAAATTTATCTGAAAATAGCAAACATACGGTGGTACTATCCCATTTTGCATAGAAGCCATAGCAAGCGCAGCATTTTGTTGTTCATATTCACTTGTAGATTTGAAGTCTGGGCCCTGTGTTATCTGAGCTTCCGGGACCATAACCGATTGTTGTTGAATTTGTTGTTGTTCAACCACCCATCCATGATCATATATATTTTTCAGAGCAGCCAAAGCCCTTGATAGAGGTCCGCTGAGTTCAATATCCTTATCTGATTTGGGAATGGTAGATGGTTGTTCTTTTGCTGCAGTAACCGACAGAGCACTTATTAGATCTCCTTGTAGCTGTCGAACTTCCGGATCTGTTTTAGTTTCACCCAAGATCCCCAGGAGAACTGCGGATGAGAGGCCATGGTAGGTGAATGCCCATGAACGGGTGGGTATAACGCTCAATGAGTGCATCTTCAAGTACATCCTAACAGTCTCTGTGAGATTTTGCTTACACTTTTCTGCGATGATTGCCTTCTGGTCAGAAGACATTCCATTTTCACCGCGTCGAAGAGCGGGTCGGCATAACACTGAGACAACAAAAGACGTGTGAAGACGAAGTGCGAAGTATTGTAATCTATCTTGAACTGTCCTGCATTTGTCTTTAATGCGGAGTGCTGGGAGGACTCTTTGACGAATGTTCTCAACGTCGACTGAATTGGCGATGATTTGATTATAATCGGGCTCAGATACCGAATCATTCTTGACGAAATCCAATACTCTTTGACATAGATGATACATAGCTTCTGTGTAGGTGAACCCCTCCGTCAAAGCAATGGGGCTTAGAGGGACTTTACATCTCGTGATCACAGCGATTGGAGATCGGTCAAATGACAGTGAGAGTAAACTATCTTGCCAGACGATTGTCCACCTTAAACCCGTTAGATTAATAGAGAAACACGACAGTGAGTGAGTGAGTGAGCATACCAAAGTTTACGACGAGGTAAGTCATTGTCCTCAGAAGATGTGAATCTACCGCTCTCATTAGGACCTCTATGAAGGCCTAGAGCTTGAGCAAGTCTGCAAGTAAGACCGATCAATGCCCACGAAGCCTCAGCCTTCATATCATTGGCTAGAACAAATCCAAGAATTAAAAGTGCTTGCAATGAATCCAATGATGGGCGAATCAAGAAATTAGATAGCCTTAGGCAATGGAATGATGTTTGAACTGTATCTGAGATTAGTCTCCTATCATATTCAAAGATAAAAAAAAGTATTCGGCTTACCAAAAGATTGTGAGGCTGCTACACGTCTGTGATATGTAGTTTCAGCGTAATTTGATGATACAGCAAGAACTGCGAATAGCATCCCAAGCCAGGCTGACGATACTCCCTTTTGATTCGGATTCCTACTCTTTGCAGAACTAGCCCGATCTTCTAGGTATATGCACAACTTCGTCTCAAAGTCATCAATATCGATCAGCAGGCCCCAAAATGGCTGAACTATCTGTTTGTAGATTTGGAATGATCTATGGGAATGTTAGCTGTGATTGCAACTTGTTTACATCTTCCGTGCAACTGACTTTAAGACATCTTTGTCCGACGGTAATGCCATAGCAATATCATGTCTTATTTTGTTCATGTGTTCTTTCGACATAAAAGGATACGGAGCCGTTGATATTTGTAAACCTAGTATAGGCATAATGTCTTTCCGAATGACATCGTGGTCACCTTCGCCCGGTGATGATCCAATCTGAGCCTCTTCACTCAAAAAAGCTGCGATTGAATTCTGCCCAAGATATCGTGATTCGTTTGGATCATCTTCTTCTGTGGTGATATTAACTTCAAATTTCAATCGGTCTCACAATTGTTTGGTATTAAAAACACTTGGCCCCGACTCAGGGGGTGTAGATGGCATGGCTTCAAATAACACATTTGTCGGTATTTGAACTTCTTGGCAGAGCTGATATGAATTTGAATTTACCTGTTGTTCTTGGCCAGCCGTCTTCCTTTCTACCAGAGTAATCACTGGCACTATCTGGGGTACGGGCTCTTTTAACTCCAGCTACTGAAGCCGTCGGTATCGTCTTCCCGAGATCCCGATTCTTAGGATTGTACGAACATAAGAGAGCGTGATCCCTCTTCACACAATTCTCACATGGGTGTTTATTATCACATTTGACCTTGCGTTGCCTGCAAGGCCAGCAAGCGGTCCCTAAGACTTGTTTAGCAAGTTGCCTATGAAGGATTCTTGACTTGCCACTGTCCAGCCAAGAATGGGGAAATGATCCATCATACCATATCGAACTTTACGATGTGAGTGTATGATCCTATTGGCCTCATCAGGAGTGATGGAAGCTTCGATTGGTTCTGATGGTCCTTCACTCATGGTCGTCGCGAAACAATTCCATTCAATTCATGAAAGTAAGGTTGGGAATGCCGAGGGAATTCCGGAAAGTGCTTATCTTACTCCCTCAACTCCACAGCTAGGTGATATTTGGTTTAGCTTAGCACGTGATAGATCGCTTGACATCGACTTGGCAATGTAACACAATGAAGGGGAAAATAAGAAGATGTTGATCTCCTCGGAAAAAATTCAAGTAAATGGGGATAAAATGACCAGAAGGATTCAGAGGCATGATAAATCATGCGAATATGAATGATTATACAATCAGAATTATGAAAATCCTCTCTAGATCGCTTGATATACCTATCATCAGCAATCATTCAAACATAGCCGGCATAACCGGGATCCTTACATAGATTAAACTCCGAACGACGGATTCATGTCGGGATATGATCTTTACGCTTCTCTCGCTCTCTGAATGTTGTCAATGATTGGATAGCTGAGAGTCGTTGGTCAGCCCTATGATGTTAAGTGACTTAGGTTGCATCTACGTCAGGAACAAAAGTGGTTCCTCAAAAACATCTGATGCTACACTCGTATGGAAATTTTCAATAAGGTGGTCTTCAACATCATGTTTTCGTTTGTGATTCCAATTTCGATACGCATCTTTCGTTCTATTTCACTCCATTGATATGAAATTCCAGCTCACACTTACAATTTCAGTCTTCTCAATCTCAAAAAGCTTGAGATTATCTGTCAATTGCCTACTCACTAAGGTTATAGTATCCCTCATTACAGGCTGATGCTACACTTACGCACGGTAATCTTAACTCTTCAATTCCTAAATGGTGAAAATGACGGTGGGTATGTGCGTCGATTTGGTCTAGCTCGTCGCCCACATATAGATTAGTTTGAGGCTACTGTTAAGTCCGAAATTCTGCAAGAACTTGAATCAAGCTTTTGTGCCTCGAAGAGTCCCGCTCACCATGCATTTCTATATATTCTTGCATTAAATCCTCTTTGAGACTGTTACAAACTTCTGAAAAGGTACTAGTGGTTCGAAGACACATACTTCTACTGTTTTTTTCAAGAATGCAAAATCATGCATCATTGCTGGAATGATCGACTTCTAGTCAAATATTAATACAGTCTCCCAGCACCCATTCTGGAACTTGCACTAAAACTTCAAACTTAGGTCAAATTACACATACAGTCTGAAGAGGCTTTCAATGCTATTGTATAGAACTATTATATGGTGTTTCTAAAGGATATTTCCTCTTCTCCGAGCATTCGCAGTCATCCAGAACTCTCTGAAATGTGAAAAATAATGATCAAAGGGTCACTTTGGAGATTCAGCTGAAACTCATTCCCGTATTTCAATGTATACGAGGTGAAGTTAAATTTAAGCTGATAGCTAACATTTCTTTTGCCGATTGATTCCAATCAAACCATAATTACATTGATTTGATGCGCAATCTTTTGTTCGTGGTGGATGAATGCGATGCTTCTCAAAGTCAAAGAGACAACCCATTTCTTCCCTAGGGCTCTGGGCTATTTCTGACCTCGGATCACACCTCTGGTCAACAACTAAAGTATTTAGAATCGAAACCATTCAGATATGCGTCAAAATATTTCACATACGTCATTCTGTGACGACAAAGCCTTGATTGGTGAGAACAGTAGCTTTGGTCTGGGTCAACTTTGGTCTAGAGGGAGGAAGTCTTAACCGGCTAGCTTAGGTTGATAAAAGACATTCAATGTCAGGAGAATTTTACTTGTTAATCACATTACTACCAATATTTTGTATTATAGTGTGTCTAGTATCAATGTTCAAGATATCAAACCTCAACAATCACAATTGGATCTCAAGTGGGATACTGCAATTATGAATCCAATATACATAATGTTGACAACGTTTACAAAGTTTTCTGTCTTGTTCACTCAAAGATTCACACATTCAATATATTCTTCTACTTGTATCTTTCTCTCTCCCAGATTCCTATATAAAGCCTCCTTCTTCCCGACTTCCTCCTCTTCTTCATTCAACAGATACCGGACATCGAACGAACTCTATACCAATATTTCCAGATACAGACTAACAAATAAACAAGACACCGACTATCAGTTGCCATGTCTTCCAGAGACATTTACGACAAGGCAACAGTCTATAATCCTGTGGACACTCGCACCAAACCTCCTCAAAGTAGCAATCCTTCCAATAAGCTTTCTTCCTCTCACTCCAAAGTTCCTTCCTCCAATCGACCATCTTCTTCCGCTGCCCCAAAAGCATACACTACACTCGAAAGAGACAATAAATCGACAAATAAAGGTATGTCTCAACAGCACACCTTACTTCAAAGAGATGGACAGGCTTCTTCTTCCCGTGGACACACTTCAGGTTCTCATGATCGTACTCAGCTCAACAGAGACCAACAATCATCATCAAGCTCAAGACAGCCAAGCATGATGCGCGCAGCAACAACTGCTCCTCCAGATGCGAAGAGCAAGTTCAAGTCTCAGCATGATATTAATATGGCCTCTCAACAAGTCAGATACCAGGAAATGAATTACGAAGAGAAGAAGAAACAGGACGAATGGGTCCGTAACTTCATTGTCTATGCCGGACCATGCCCATTTGGGTACGGCTGGGAGCGAGTCAAACATGGATATGTCTGTAATGGCGGGAATCATTTGTGCACCGATGATCTTCTGGCTGAAAGTAAAGGCGGCTTTTACATAGGAACTCTCGAAGCCGGATGGTGGGGCCCAATCTACGACTCAAGCAAACATTTACGATTAGAGTTCGCAGAGACCATAGTCTGGGAGTACGCCAAGAAGCACGGATTAGACCCAACAGTGGCTCCCGTAGTCCCACCACCTAATATACCAGCAACTCATGAAGTCCACCCGGGATTTGCAAAAGCAATGGCAGGTCTGGGACCCGTGCCACAAGCTGCCCCAATTGATCATGTCCTGGAGAAATTCAAGCGAGTAGGTGAACTTGAGAGAATTGTTAGATCCTATCATATTTCCGGAACATCAAGTCACCATGCGTCGAATGGCCATCACTTATCCAGTGGCCGTCACACATCCAGCGGATATTACTCATCCGGAGTAACACCTCAGCTCAGCACCCTCTATGGACCAGGAGGTCTACCAAATCGACTTGCAATGAGCACGAGCAATGGTTCTCTATCCCAAGGAGGTCAACTCCCACTTGGATATCTACCAGCTGCTTATCGCAATGATCCATATGGACAGGGACCAATAGGCCGCCGCAGATATTAAGTCTGAGAAAGTAGAGGAACGACTTTGTGTACTACGCTATACTGCGTTCTGGGGGATACTAGATGACGACGGCGACGACGACAATGATGGTAGTAATGCGTGACTTTGGATAAAGATACAGATATTAGATAGTGCAATGCGAGACGTTATATTAAGACAGTGGAGAATTTGAATATGCATGTGAAATATCTCTTAAAGAAAATAACAGTCATTTCCCGGCTTCCGTCGCATTCACATAGCACTACTTATTATTCACCTCTAATTCCAACACCTTGAACGGAATTCCCTTCCCAGATCTTTAAAGACTGCCCGCGTGATCGCGGCAGTATCTCCACTTTCCAATCATCTTCAAAGTATCGATGTCATCGCTGGCAATTCGATTACAGTCGCGTGCATCAGTTGTACACCTGATGATTCAGATTTAGGGGGCTCTCTATAATCGCCCGGTTGGGGGGGGGGAGGGGGGGGGGGGGGTGATACCTTTAGTATTTGAGTTAAAAGTGAATGTGAGAATGTGAGAATGTGAGAATGTGAGAATGTGATTTGACTTTGGTTTCTGAAACAAATAGCAGATATGCCTGCGGTTTTGAATTGTCTTATGGAGACGAGTTAATGAGGAAGGGGGGCAAGAGCGAAGACAAGAAGGACAATGTAATGGCATTCTATTCCGAGTACAAAACAATCAATCATTCCACCAGATTCGATGAGCAAGCCAGATCAATTGAAATTGTTTAGAGAAGGTCCTTTGATCTTCAGAAGACAAAGTATCAAGATTTGAAAAGAGAGCTCAAGCGCACTGCGCGTAACGCTTCGTGCAGAAGTTTTACCTGTGGCTATTAATCACACACAAGTACTTACATATCTTAAAGGTTGGGATCCGTGTAATCCGCGAAAGCTTAGTTGCCTTCGAGAAAGCGGCCTACAAACATGTGATGGTTGTGCAAAAGTTCAGGCTCAATGGGTATAAACTTGTTCAGGCAATTACCGATTTTTCAACAGCAAAATGTGACGCACTATGCCACTTCAAGAGTCCCAACAGCTGAGCCCTGTAGCGATATATTCTATACGAGTAATATCAGGGGCTCAAAGTTGACAATAATAGAAACAAACCCAGACGCTGGTGTGGAATTTCTGGTTGATGCGAAGTATCCGCCACCGACTTTGAAAGCGTTTCTCAGCCCTAAAATGATCAAGAAGACCATGAAACTACCAAAACGAGAAGATCTCTGGAACTATAGATGATGAAGGATTTGAAATTGTGTTGGCTGCAAAACAATTCCACTTTGATCTGCCGGAATGCAGCATTACTTCATGTTTAGTTGACCTCACATGGTCATTCGGAAGATTAGGTTGATTTGACACTAGACGTTGCAATATCCCATCGACAGTGGCTAGTGAGCACAGCTTTAGTGGGCAAGAAATCGATGCACTTATTCAACTGCTAAGCTGTAATCTAGACCTCATACCCTTGAGAATGACTCAAGTTGTCTGCACACTGTTGACGAAGATGCTTCTGATAATAATCATACTAGAGTGATTGGAGATGCAAAAGATCACTTTATCCGCCAGTTGTCGAGAACGGGTGTAGATCGGTATGAGCATGGTAGAAAGTAGCCCCTCGATTTATTCACGGCAATGGTGATCTCGGGATACGCTTTTGGGCAAGTCTGCTTCTTAAATTAGCTTTTCGATCTACAATACCCCGCCTGCTGTCTGACGCGATCTCTGGTGGATACTACACACCTCAACTTGATCACTGACTCAGGAAAACTTGATATCGAAATGTACGGCGAGTCCCGACCATCGATTTGATCAAGTACATCTTCATGAATCAAGGATTTGATCACCCATCAGATTTTTCCTCCTGGTCTCCTGCCATATGCGTGTCATGTATATCTATGATAAGATCTTCAAGCACATGTATGCATGTGTTGCCAGAAGAGGCAAACCGCCTAATCCCAAACAAGCAGCTTTAACAAAATCCGCGCTTGGGATTGGGACTTATGTACCTGCCCAATCTGCCGCAATTTCATGCCAACCACTATGACTGGTAGATCCAGGAAGTCTACTGCCGGAGTGTGTTACCAAACTTTGGAAGAACAAGAACATTGTTTCTGCTCATGATAATTATGAACACAACAAGTACCGGAGTTCCTAGTGCGATTTATAAGCATTTCTTGATGATAGTGGAAACGATTAAGACGAGACCAGGCTCTATGGCTGTGAACATGAGGAAAATCAAGGTGATACTGGATAACAGGGACTTTTAATGCTATACTGTAAGCAGGATCTTAGACAACAGAGAAAGGAAGTCAAAGTGCATGCCATCTGCCCTCATATTGAAACTCCGAAATCGTACTGGTTATATCGAATCTTGCGTGCTCCTTCCTATGTCGTCGTTCTTGTCGCCTATCTATTTGGGTCTCAGGTCCTGAACATGGAATTTGGGTATGAAAAATTTGGTTGAGAATTCGCTTTTCCGACTTCGTAAATCAAGTAAATATCATAAAACAATCTTCGCCTTGGGGGTGATAATCGGTGGATGGTCAGCGGAGGGTCAACGGAGATTGATATTTATCTCCGTTCAAATAAGGTTACCTCAATTTGATAGGTTGAAAATCATTTAGTCGTTCTTGATTCTCATCACGTGAAACCCCGCTGTCGTCCGCCTGCCACTCAATCAGTCAGCCAATTATTCTGTTCTCTATTTTCCGTTTTCCATCTCCCCTTTGAAGATTGCCTGGCATATCAGTGATACATCATTAGTGACAGGCTAATGCTCAAGTATTATGGCCGATCTTGTACCCGCAACTGCTTCAGAATTGCCAGACACTGTATCACAATCTTCCCCCCCCAAAGACGATGCAGAGGATAATTCACGGGAAAAGAAGGTTGTGCCCAAAGCAAGTCGGCAAAGATTCAAGCCACAATTGTCATGCACCTTTTGTAGAACTCGAAAGTATGCGAATAAAATCTGATCTACTCCTTATTGACCTTACTCTGACCCAACCAGATTAAAATGCGACCGCAATTCCCCTTGCAATAATTGCTCCAAGAGAGAATTATCTTCATCATGCACATATATCCACAATTCACGTGCGAAGATATCTCATGTCCAGAGGACCAGAGAGAAACCAAAAGATGTTCAAGACCGAATCCAACATCTAGAGGAGCTAGTCGTGACTTTGATGAATCAAGCCAAAGACACAACAGTGCCGTCGAAACCAACCATCTCACCTGGCTTTCTAAGCTCTACCGTTAAGCCCCGAGAACTCTCATGGCCAGATGATGCTACGATATCTGAAAGTGCGGATTCCATCGGACGTATATCTGTCGAAGATGAGGTGCAGAATTATGTTGGCGGGGCCCATTGGGCGGCAATACTCGAGAATGTATGTATCTCTCTTCGTATAAGTCGATAAGTATCTGACAGTTCCGTAGATAGCCGGCTTGAAAGACTCATTGGGATCTGAGGAATGGCCACAGGGTACAGCTAGTGGAAATAATACTTACGAAGGGCCTAAGCTACTTCTTGGAGACAATAGAAAGTCCTCGAGGGAATCTATTCTTGCTTGTCTCCCGTCGAAACCTCTTGTCGATAACTTGGTTGATCGCTACTTCACTGCGATTGACGCTTCCTGTAAAATAACATATTCTGTGGAGACGGGATTGAACACTAACGAGCATATAGTTATCACTCATGTGCCGACTTTCAAAAAGGAGGTGAGAACTTTCCTTAATATAGAAACCGGCTCATTCGTTAACTCTTTTGTAGTACGCCGAGTTTTGGGATAATCCCAACTCAAAATCTATTTCCTGGATTGGATTACTATTTTCCATAATATGCCTCGCCGCGAACTTTGAATTAAGAACAGGAGATTTCCCAATCTCAGCACTATCAGACTCGGCTGTACGGGACACAGAACAGCGGACCAGATTATATCGTGAGAAAACTGTGCAGTGTCTCATAAGTAGTAACTACACGGAACCAGGACTGTATACTGTCGACACTCTTTTACTTTATTATCTCAGTGAGTATTGCGAAAGCAAGGATACACTATTTGGGTCTTGGATGGTTTTTGGGATGGTTGTCCGCGCAGCAATGAGAATGGGTATGCATCGAGATGCCTCTCATTACCCCAATATATCAGTTTTCCGTGGTGAGATGCAACGTCGACTATGGGGTGCAATATTACTCGTTGATATTCAGACTTCATGTCAAGTTGGACTTCCTCGAATGATAAGCGAAGGGACGTATGATACAAAGCCCCCCAATCACCTCCTAGACGAAGATCTTCATGAAAATATGGTTGCATTACCGCCCATTAGATTGGAGTATGAATCATCACCTATAAGCCACGCACTCTCTAAATATCGCCTTCTTTTGGTATTTGGTAAAATATTTGACGCGTCAAATCTTGTTACTCCTATCTCTAATGATGAAGTCATGAGACTTGAAAAATTGCTCTTTGACGCTCTTGGAGAGGTCCCGGATTTTTTTCGAGTCAGATCCATCCACGATCTCGAAAGCGGTTCTCTTATGTTCAGAGTAAGGAAGTTCTCAATTGAAATGACTTATCTTAAAGCACGTTGTTTTCTTCATCGTAAACTTCTCTCGGAAGCCGAATCATTGCAGAAGCACTCTTACTCTGTCAAAGCGTGTGTCGATTCTTCAATGCTGATTCTACAATATCAAAATTACCTGAACAACGAGACAGCTCAGGGTTCTCCGTTACACGGAATGAAATGGATTACATCTTCTTTAATGACTTACGATTTCCTCTTAGCTGCAACACTTCTTTGTCTCTATCTTGGGCAGTTGATGGCTGCCGAAGAAAAATCTATGGATATCGACCTTCAGGATTTTCCAATCGACTGGACTATAAAAGATATTTCGCACGCTTTATCCAAATCTTACCAAATATGGAACAATCCCGAGATCGCATCGGAAGATACCATGAGATTTTCGAAGGTAATAAAGGCCATGGTAAACAAAGTTGATCATTGGTCTACCGTAAATAAAACCCAAAGAGAGGTTGCAAAGGAGATGACGAATGAATCTAGCCCTGATGCCTTACCCCTTAAGCATCACGACCTTCTTTCCACTTCCATTCCGCACCAAGGCTATCCCCTAAAATATTCTACTCCACATATGTATTCCTTACAATCAAACAACTTCGAGGAGAGCCCAAGTGACTCTACTACACCAAATATCGGTATGATAGGAGACATTTTGAATGATCCGACCGGTCTCGATTGGGTAAGTGATTATTTATTTCTCACTGAATACATACTGATCAATAAACGCAGAGTCTTTGGGATAGCAATTTTCAAGGGAACAGCAATTATATTAATCCAGGGGCTTCATTATATTCTTCCGATCCGTACTTTCCTTTTCAGGAAGCTGGATTTGAGTCCAATTTGGACGGCAGTTGATGATCACTAATTAACTCCCAAGATTGGTTGATTACCAATGCATGGCTTGTCCAAAGCTTATTTATAGATCGCAGCCAGAAAATAGGCTTCCCAAGAAAGCTTAAAGGTTTCCAATGCAACGTGAGCGGGGAATTTTATTATTGGTTGGATGCCCCTGTGTGGCATTCGCTTATTGCATAGTCTGCGCAAGAGAACGGATAACTGAAAGACTGGTAAGTTAAATTCTATTGGTTCCCACACCACCATTCTAAAAAGTTTTTAACAGACTGTACCTCAACGAACTCCGGAGCGATGATGTATGACAAGTGCGATTAGTTGTCACACGAATCGCTAAGTACTGAAGCGGCAGGTAGATGGCCGGCTGATTGTTGAAGACTGCTCGAAATAGTCAGGTGGTCTTTCGCGATATTACCTCTAGAATTAAGAAGGTCTGAACTGCTGATAACGGACTTGATGCAGATCTTCCAGAGCTCATCGTCTCCTTCAAGTGACTGGAGACCTATCAAATGGCTTGTTGTGCAACATTGACGCAATGCGATGTTGGTTATGCCCAAAGTTTTCAGAATTTTCATATGGTACAACTCTATATTTAAGCATATTCATGGGTTCTAGATGTAGTTTCGATTTACATGGTTGAAAACGTGGGGAGAACTAGTCATTTTATTTTGCCTTGCCCCGCATCAAACGCGTGTCCATCGTGATAGGAAAGAAATTGTACCTCATTTTTCCAAAACATACCGAATCTTGCCAATCTATCACCGATCTATGACCGAGAACCAGGTCAAACCTCACTGAAGTGATGCCGTCGTTGTGTGGAAAACATTGCCAAGAAACTGCCAGCCCTCCTTGAATGTGTATCTTGACCTGAATGGTGCTCCACCCCGTATCACCAGCGTCGGATCGGTGAAATGACGATACACGAGGGAGAATCAAGGGAATCTGGATTAGAAGCAGGTGTGCTTGCTAGAGAGATAAAAAGGTATGTGCCCGGATCGTTTTCACAGCTTGATTTGAAGTAGACTCAATTTCCTCCTCAAAACAATACTTTCAGCTTTCATAGCCAAAATCTCTCAGACATGCATTTCGCCAATCGCCACGCGATTCTGCTGATCACTTTCTTTCTCAAACAGAGCATTCTGGCAGCACCAACTGGAGATCCTCTTCTTGGTTACAACCCTTCGAACGTTGTCATCAATCAAGACACCGACAATGTCGACTATGAACTTGCACCAGGCCAAACAGATCCAGCAACTGTAGGCGCCTCTTTGGAATTCAGCACAATCGCGAACCCTCAACCCATCCGAGGCTCCAAAGGTGGCACTGACCCGGGTCCAAGAACTTCACCATACGATATCCTTAACCCCGATAAACTTGCACCTCCAGGCACCGACCATGGAAGTGTGAGCAATGCACAATGGCCTATGGGGCTCAGCCATGCGAAGCTAGGACTCGATCACGGGGGATGGTCGAGACAGCAAAACGTTGACAATATACCTGTTGCCACAGAAATGGCAGGTGTAGATATGCGTTTGGAAGAGGGCGCTTACCGTGAATTACATTGGCATAAGGCGGCAGAGTGGGCTTACATCTTCAATGGGAGTGTGAGACTTCAAGCTGTTAATGATGAAGGCCAGACCTTTGTCGATGATTTGAGTGCGGGTGATGTTTGGTATTTCCCTCCGTAAGTGATCCAAGCCACCGTGTGTTCTATCTCATGCTATGCTCGCTTGAGGTGGGGTGTTACTTGGCGTGATATTTCAGCTTATAATTTTACTAACGAACACTATCTCAGAGGCGTGCCACACTCTCTGCAAGGATTGAAGGGAGGAGTAGAGTTTCTCTTGGTCTTTGATGACGGAAGCTTCTCCGAAGACAATACCTTCTTGGCTTCAGAAGTCTTCGCACATAACCCAGTATGACAAACCCCATAGTACCTGTGATATCAAGAGCTAACATCATCAAGATTGAAGTCCTTTCCAAGAACTTCCAACTTCCCAAATCTGCCTGGTCCGACATCCCTTCCGGAGAACTCTTTATTTTCCCCGGCACAAAGGCTCCCACCGATATAGCCGAACAGAACATCACTGGCTCGGCTGGTCTCGTGCCTAAAGAATTCTCCTACTCCTACCACCTCTCCAAAGCACCTCTGACGCACGATACTCCCGGTGGAACCATTAAGATTCTCGATCCAAAATCCTTTCCTCTCGCAGCTCAATTTTCTGCCGCAGTCGTAACTCTGCACCCTGGAGCTATGCGCGAGATCCACTGGCACACCACGAGTGATGAATGGAACTTTTTCATATCCGGCAGTGCGAGAATCAGTATATATGCAGCCCAGGGGCTAGCAAGAACATTCGATTATCGTGCGGGTGATTGTGGATATATTCCCAAAGGAATGACGCATTATGTTGAGAACACTGGGAATGATGATGTGATATTCATTGAAGTTTTGCAGGCGGATCATTTCTCGGGTGAGTTCTGTTTATTGCTTGTTGTTATGACTTGATGGGATGCTAATGTGTGATAGATATCTCGGTCGGCCAATGGGTTGGTTTGACTCCCAAGCAGATTGTAGCTGATACGCTCAATTTATCCAACGAGACCGTGTCGGCTTTTAAGAAGGAGAAGCAGTATATCGTGACAGGTGATGTCCCGGAGTAAATCGGCTCATAGAATTCTCGGTTTAAAATTTGTCTTTCGTTTTTCTGTTTCTCTCATTCAGGTCTCCTTTCGCTCAATGTTAATTGCTTTTCATTGAATATACGTCTTCATGTATTATCGCAAAGAAGAGGTAGTTTCAGTTCTCCTGCCACTGAAGGCACATGCAACCATTAAGATAGCTTTTCAACAATTCTATGATTTTATCTCTAGCATGTTGAGTGAATTCGAAGACAATATGATTTTTTTGTGAGAAGAGATGCAATTATAGAAAAGTAGATTTTCCAACGGAGATAGTAATGTAACTATACATGACCTTCCTTAGCTGTAAGAAAGATTGTAATACCTGGCTTTTCTTGGCAGTTAGCTATGAGATCATCTGTTTGCAGAGTGGGGTATGCATTGTGTAGATATGATGGATGAATTTCAGCATCCCTTTACAGTAGTCCGTAAAGAATGAAGACTGTATCCTAATCGTGAATTTTTTTAAGCCTGCAGTGTAATCTTACAACATGGATCGATTATTGGATTACGCGAGTTGTGCTTGTTGTAAGATGCCCCATTTGACAGCTGGAATAATAGTGGCCATGAATACCTTGATAATGCTCGCTGATATTCTATAAAATTGGCCCTTTTACTCAAAGCTCTCAAGCAAGCATTGCGAAACGAAGTGTGTTGCAACAGAAAATTGCGTTGAACAACTTTGTATGTGAGCTTACTATGTAAAAAGTATTGAAATTCAAAACCATCGTTTTTTTCACGACAGTGACCTCCAAAAGAGTGATCATCCAGACCTACTTATCTTCTCAGAATTTATTCTCCGCCTTTTCCTTTTTATTTTTCTTCTTATCCGCCTCTTCCAAGAGTTCTTTAAACTCCTCATCACTCTTCCTACCTTCTGTTTGTTGTTCAAATCGCTCCAGATCAGCGTCCATCTGCCTCTTTATATTCTCCTCAACTTCCGTCTTATATTCGCCTACATCTTATCAATATCCTCCTGTGTCCATTGCGCCGCCCGTGCCTTTGCTCTTTCCCTTCTCAACTCTTGCTGAGTATTTCGTTGTTCCGCCTGAAGATTCGTAATTGTTTCCATTCGCTTTTTGACTCTTAAAGATGTCAATTTTCCGTCTCGAAGCGTGGCATCTTTGTCGTGTACAGTGATAAGTTGATCTACAACCGCGCCCATAAATTCTTCATACGCAGTATCGCCTTCGAAAACTTGGACGGCATAAACTTCGACGACATTCCGTACAAGCTCCACTTCTATTTGTTCGTCTAATTGAAAAGCCGTGCCGTATTTCTTTTTGCCTTTCAACTTCGCATCGGGACTTATTGCTTTTGTCCATTAATTCAAGAATCTGCTGCTGGGAGATTTCGAGAATCTTTTCTTTCTCGAAGATTCCTTCGTCAATCTGCGTATTGAAAATTGCTTTTGACTTGATAGTAAAAGGAATTTGTATCTGCTGAACACTACGCATTATCAGACCATACCCCATACTATTGCCGATTTTTGCAGAATAAATTTTCGATGTCTGCTGCATAGTCACTGATCATGACTATCCGTCTAGGCAGTGTGCGAAATCCGGCTGACTCCTCTGGCTGTCCAGGCATGACACCCAGTAGCACAACATCACAAGGCATCATTTAAATATAAGCCTTTATAAATCTCACACCTGGAACGAATACGCTCTAAGCCGAAATGTAGTTGAGATCTTGAATCTAAAAGTCCATACCACTGAAAATCAAATATTGAGCCCCATTTTCATCTTTATTGAACTCGTGTGGAATACTGTCCGATCCTTCCCATTTAAAATAACTCATCGTCTTGATCATCGACACTTTTGGCTCTGTAGTAAATTCTGAGGTTGTCGTTGGATCTACTGATCTTGCATGCCACCTGTGATTCGGATATCTCTTCGTCAACCCCAAAGAATGTTGTCGGATTCTAGAATGGGTTCACCATTAGAGTCTTGGGCCATCTAGTCTATAAGTAATGAATGGCAGCAATGAGATTTTCGACATTCTTGCATGGATTTGGGACAGCCAGGGAGTTGGTTTTATTCTTTACAAAAGAGCAGAATGCAAGATATCTGATAAATTAATAAGAGGCACATATTCCACTGCAGTATGGAAACTCAAAGCTCCTTATTTTGACCCTAAACATACAAAATTTTCTAAAGTGAATGGTCTCGCTTTCCTTAGGACCATGGCGCGAAATGGGTGAAAACACGGGGATTGATTCGAAGACTGAGAACTCTCTCGTGAGTTCGTAATTATGCATTATTTCAACTCGAACCCGTCTACGATCTCCAATGATAATGTGAGTGAAGCTAAATCAGCGGCCAAGCTGGGGAACAACTACGCAAGATATCAGGTGTATATAACGAAGAGAAGATATCACGATATTCTAGAAAACTAATGATATACATAGGTATGCTATTCATATAAGCGAAGTAAAATCAGAGAAAGAAGAAGCGCATTGCAATCATTCATGAAAAATAACCCACCCGGCCTAGCCCAAAAAGAAAAAAGATTTAGCTTCCAGTTATCATCATACATAGAACATAATTTTCCGAGTCAATAATTCCAGCTTGTTTCCAGCCTGAATGCCTACCGTACTCGTCAGACCAGACCAGGGTCTAACCTTTTTATGCTCACCCGCTTCATCTTGGCTCTAATCGCTGAAAACCCAGGAAATTTTTATCAACGATTCCTATTTGAACTCGCCATCTCTCCGTACCTTCCTCTCTCCTTCGTCGTATCGTATGCTTGTAGCACTCTGGTTTGCGATTCGTCCGCCTGAGAGAAGGCATAACCACGCTGTTTACGCATACGCTGAACTTGACGAACCTTGCGAATGGCTTTCTGAAATTGCTCCATTCTGTAATGATTGGTTAGAAAATTGCCTTATAAGAACGGAATCGGAACGGGAACGTACCTTGGTCTATAATCTTGAATGTTGTATTTCTGGATCTCTTGGATATGGTGGTAGGATTGTGGATAATACATCCGTTTAGCGCTATGAGCATAGATTAGCATCTCCTAAAAATAATAACACAGATAACCTTACTATTTCCATGAAAAGTCTCTCAGCAAGCATAACATAGGCAATGCCAAACCTTGAATCCAGAAGACAGGACTTCCAAATAATCGCGGTATAACACCCCCGTATTCCATGGAGAAGCCGAGCTTAGGCGCCACCGTAGCATACACAGCGATAAAAATGATCCAGATTAGCATACTGCCAGGTATGGCAATAACGTGATATTTTGTCCAAACATTTACTACTAGAGCTGCTTTTCCAAGAACAGTTGCCAAGACTGCAGTATAGAGTGCTGTACCCCATACCCAATGGCCCGCTGTTTTGCCGTCGCCCTGGGGCAAATCACGCCACCAGATAAGTTCCGAGGCGATGTATAGAATCAAAGAATGATAGAAACCGTTACCAATCCAGGCCCAGAATGAATGTTGTCTGAAAAAGGTATTCTTTTGACCCAGTTGATAAAGTTGCGGATACCTATCGAGAAGTCGAGCAGATATAAATTGATCAAAGATACCCATTGCAAGTGGAGGGAGCACTGTAAAGAAGACGTTGTAAAATGATAGCGTCCAGGATTCGTAGATGACTTCTCCAGAGAAAACGTTTTGGAATGAATACTGTAGACTGTTAATAGTAGATCAACTTAAAGAACTGTGAAAGCCATACCCAGAATTGTGTCATGTATAGCGTGATGTTTTTGTAGAAAGAATAGAGAATAACTTTGCTAACTCGTTGGTAACTCCATGCGCCATGAACTAGGAGAAGTTTACGCAGATATCTGAATTGTCCGATCGCAACATCAGCACTTCTGGCGGCCTGTAGACCTTCCATACCACTGATACCAACACCAATGTGGGCTGCTTGAATCATTGAGACATCATTCGCTCCATCACCAATGGCCAATAGGATAGATTTCTTATTGCGTTTGACGAGCTTGACGACCAAAGCCTTCTGAAGTGGAGATACACGACAGCATATGACAGCTTTACACATAACAGCAAGATCAAGGAAGTCTTTCTCCAAATCCTTTTCAAGAGCATAAGTTAAAGACTTTCCATCAATAACCAAAGCAAGAGTTTCCATAGCAATGGTGCCATCACCTTGTGTTCGTATGGCATCGAGCTTCTTTTGTATATTGTTCCTAGTATCCATTGCTGTTTCCTCGTTGACGATGAGAAGAGTCATATCTTCACTGATCAGCTTGCAACTCATTCCAATGTTGATAGCAGTCTCTTGGCGATCTCCGGTCAATACCCAGACCTTGATGCCGGCCTCTTGTAGAGTATGGATCGTCTCGGGAACACCATCTTGCAGACGATCTTCAATCGCTGTGGCTCCAAGTAACGTAAAATCCCGCTCCAGAATTTCAGCAGCTTTATCCAATTCGTCAGCACGATTACCACTGACGGTAGTTTGTGCTCTATCAAAGACTGACCACCACTCTTGAAACTCATTCTCAGGAATTTCTCGCATTGCCAGACAAAGTGTTCTTAGACCCTCAGAAGCATATTCTTCCAAATGCTGAAGTGTGACCTCAACATGGGGGTTGTCTGGACCAAGCCGTTCCAAGATAACAGTATCAGCCCCTTTGCAGTAGCATCTGATTTGTCCATCTGGACATCGAAAAATTGCCGACATTCGCTTTCTCGTTGAGTTAAATTCGCAAACCGCAAGAAGCTCATATTCATAAGTCTCCCCCCCTACACTTATCTGTACAGATTTTGGCTTGCGTGCAGTAAACTGGTAACCCATCAAAACAGCACCTTCGACCAGAGCGCCTTCGTCGGGAGATGCTGCTTGGTATTTGATAGCTCCGCCCTTCTCATCAGATCGTTCAGGGATAACGGTATGGCAAGTAGATAAAAGGGCAAGAAAGTGATGAATAGCTAAAGCCGACTCATGCGTTTTGAGATTATCCTTAAGTCGATGAAAGTCATGAACCCCGACCTCCTGACCGTCGATATTGGTGGCTCGGCGATCTTCTGGCACATCCTCTGCGTATTGAATCCCACCGATAGAGCATTGCTTGAATTCCATTTGATTACATGTTAATGTTCCAGTTTTGTCTGAGAAAATGTATTCTACCATACCAAGTTCTTCGACTAAACTCGATGTTCGACAGACAGCTGGGGTATCAGTCTTGTCATGATACATGTCGAGATCGTCATTGATCAAAATTGCATGCCAGTATTTGACCATTTCAATAGTGACGAAAAGAGAAATTGGTACCAGAGCAGAATACAGAACCCAATAAGTGGCTATATCAGAAAAAAATTGCGAGACTTTTTTCGCCGAGGTGATTGAAGCAGAATAACCAAGATAGCTTAATTCTGCTCCCTTGACTGATCTAACTATAACATCACCCAATGAACTTATGACGCTCAACGCGATCAAGATAGCTACGAGCATTAGAACCAGAATATTGAGTTGGCGCTCCACGGCAGTTCTCTTTATCGGCGTTGCCGTCGCATTCCGCATAAGCTTGGTTTCGTGACCAGTAAATACAACAACTCCGTGAATCCAGGGAGTGTTACGTAGTGTTGCACCTCTGAGCAAAAGTTGATCTGGTTGCAAAGAAAGCTCCTTCTCTCCACCGCCAGCAGCCACGGTAAGTGTACCCTCATAGGTATATAGACTGCTGTTCGGTTGTTCCGATCGTAGCTTTCCGCCCAATCTACTAAGTTCGTTGGAACTGACCATCACACATGTTTCTGGAATGGCCTGCTTGATTTTGAGATTAGTCTCACCGTCTAGATTGGCAGTCTCAATATAGCATAGTCCCTCCGGTTCCGAACTGGCTAGTAAAATAATATCTGCAGGAAATGACTCTTCGGATTCTACACGAACGATGTCGCCAACTGAAACATTGATCCATTTAGTATCCGCGAATGAAGACCCGCGTAAAACACGAGCCTTTGAATTGTTCAGCGAAGTATCAGATGTTTTTCTCCTGTAGTCCTCAACTACTTCTTTACCGGCAGATACCAAGAGGACCAAGATCAAAGGTCCGATGGTGGTGTATTGGTTCGTTGGGGAAATATCGGGAATCTGTTGCAATGCTGCAGTAAACAAGAAGAATAGATTGGCAAATTTAGAAAACTGCTCGAACAAGAACTTCGGTAGAAAGGTCGCAGCGTTGTACTTGGCTGTAGATATGTGATTATCCACATATTTGCTTGCGCTGTTGGCAGGGGGATTGTTGAGATGTATAATTCTGGGACCAAGAGTTGAAGGATCTGGCTTTCCTCTACCAAATCCAAATTTGAATTTCCCCAGCTTACTTTCAGATTGTACAGGCGTTTCAGGTTCATGTGTATCTGCTCGATTCCTCGCCCCGGCTTCAGTCAATGGTAGATCCATTTCCGAATACTCAGCCCCCATTCCAAACATACTCTTCGCCTTGCCCATGATTCCACCTCCCAAGCTCATTATGCTACTGCGATTTCGACCATGACCCCTCATTTCTGCCCCATCACCAGGAATTGCTGTTCCATGTTGATAATACTCCGAAGAATGCCCATCATCCGGGAAATCGTCCAAATCATCCGCATATCGTTGATAATTATTCAATCCTGAAGTTTGACTGTATGATGCTGAGTTTGCATGAATGTATGGCGGTTGTGCTCCACTCGGTTGATAGCCAGGCCCTCCTGGGAGATTGTTGGTGGTAGATGGCGTAGAAGGAGATGGTGCGCCAACGAAGTTGTCGTAAGAAATTGAAGGTCTGGGGTTCGACTCATCATGATCTGCATTGTAGGCGCGCAAAAGGTCGTCATCATTCATAGGGGCGCGCTGCCCGGTGTGGTAAATTGGTTGTTCATCGTGTAAATCGAGAAGTAAGTCGTCCCGATTATTTGAAGGCTGTCCAGCCATGCTGGAATACAGCTCGAGGTCGTCGCACTCAATGCGGAGATCAAATTCTGATCATGCGATTCCTGGTTGTCCAAAATAGTCGTGATGTTTTGCAAACTTAGAAATTCGTTGTCCTCTTCACTTGTTATTGTTGCATAGCCTCTTTATGAGATTTAGGGATGGCGGATGTAATGTGAGTGCCGCTTAAGTTCGTCAACGGCAACCAATTCTTTCGTGTGTTGTAAACCGCGTACTTCAATGTATTGTTCTGTCTTCGTGTTCGTTAAATGCGTAATAAACTCAGGGTCAATTCGGGAGTCTTTTTGAAATTCGTATTAAGTCTTGGAATCATGTCTTGGTTGCTAAATTAAGATTGACATCCACAATAATATAAAGATGGTTATAATAATAAATTACAGGGAGAGCTCTAGCTCGCTTCAGCCTTCTACGCAAGGCCATCAGGTCCCGCCTCGCCCGCATTCTTACTTTCCCGCAATTGACAACTGACATCACATCACATAAAAGTCGATTACAATTTCAACTAATACTCATCATAACGTCTCGAAATGGTTTGCGCAAAGTGCCAGAAGAAATCTTCTACTACCTCTCTGGCAACTCCAGAGGTCAAGAAGAAGAATGACATGTATCTTGGTTCGCCAGCTGGATCATCATCATCTAAGGCTGGCACGAAGACCTCCGCCACCCTGGGGAATAATGGTATAGGCAAGGTAAGATCCAATTCTATGGCGCACAATTTTACCATTGTTGATATTGTAATGGCAGAGTAAATTGTTGTCGAAATCTGCTAGGAATCCTTATGCTACATACTCGACAACTTGCACTGGTAAAGAATGCAGCACCAAGGTTGACCAGGGAAGAAAGTATTGTCTGAAGTGCTCATACAAAGCCAACGGTTATGCACCACATTTCGTCTCGAATGGATCGTGAAGGTTCTAACAGAAAACAGCTTGCGCAATGTGTGGAAAGTCGAATGCAAAAACGTCATCGGCTCCAGTTGTCGCTGGACAAAAATTCAATTTAAAGTGAGAAATTGCGCAAGTGAAAGCTTGGGGTAAATACTAGAATGAAATATGTGGAGATGGCGCCCGGAGTATACGCAGGGTTTCTAAGACGAGCAAAGAATGGCTTGCAGATTTACTTGGTGATTATATATTGGCAGGAAGCATTACAACTTTTATTATTGTTCAGATGGATATTCAAGCTGAGGCACTCGAGAACATAGGATTATACCGATTGTGGAACATGCATTCCCACACCTCTTGGAGCACATACCTGATTACTACATACACATAATAGACTACGATTTCGAATATACATTAAACGCACGATAACCGACATGTCAACAGTCAAAATTCTGATTTCACGAGATAGCACTAGCCGAATGATACAAATAGTTATGAAAGGAAACTCTACGTTTAGATCCAGAGAGGTGGACAACTGGCCCTAATAATATAACTATCTACAGATGTACAAGTCTTTGTGGAGACCCCACACGTTTCTCCTATATTAGATTTCTAGTGGCAGTTCCACGAGTATTGATATATAACGATCAAACTGTCCCAATCTGAAATTTGACTCCAATGTCACATCAATCTTAACTTTCCTATCGAATCGTGGAATGAGTATAGATTTCACATCCTCTGCTACAATTCATGTCAGCTTTGTGCCTAGAGATCAGGTATGCGAGGAAGGAATACCAAGGCGACCGTTGAAAACGAGCTCCGAGCGTCGTTTGCAAGTGAATGCCTTCGAGTTCACGTTGTAAACGACTTCCATCACAACCGAGGATGCATTGTTTCGTCGCGTGTAGTCTCTCATGGTGGTTGATTGTGATGTATCGTGTTACGTGTTATTGTCTCAGCGGTATGTCTTTAAGTTTGGCAGATGTGTTAAATATTCTGGTTGTAAGATTTTATATCTACCTATATACGTCTTTGTCGGATCGGAATTCACATTGGGTGATTCGGAGGCTCAAACAATTAAGATATGAGAATAGTTGACCCGAATGTGATTGTATTTCCTGATTCTCGTTTCTGCTTCATTGGATGAATTCTAGTAATTCAAAAAATGGAAACAATTGGTGCTCGAGGTGAATATGGATGCCATGTGTGATTCACGAGTCAAGTGCCCCCCATTTCAGCTAAAGCCAAGATCTTTGATATTTGCAACAAGCCAAAAGCACGACTCACTATCACATGTTCTACCCCTCTCAATCCTCAAACCATGTCGCTCGCTCAACATCTTCCTCGCCCTCAAAACACCCAAAACATCACCCACCACCAACACCTCGTCCTAACAACGTCCCTCTCCTAACCCCCTTATAACACAATATGCTACGGATTTTTCCTAATCAAACCCGTCACTACCATGAATCTCCTCTAACGCGGGCCTGTCGATATCCTCAATAAAGACAACCTCGTCTCCTACATTCCCAAATCTGCATGTTAGGAATTAGATGTTCAACCCAAATATCAACCCAGAAATCTCTAAAGTTTTGAAAATCTATGGACAATATTCATGATCTAAAGTGGAGGATGGTGAGCGAGGGTTGGGTGAATAATAGGTTTGATGGGGAGGTGAGAGGGGTGGAGGATGGGCGGAGACGGTGGGGCGGTTGGATTGCTGTGGGTTGTTATAGGGATATGTATTTCGTTTCTTCCGCCGGATATGTAGTGAGTTGGCTTATTGTGTGTGGTTATGGAACTAAGAATGATGTGAGGATGAACTTGTATAATAATGAAAGACTTTGTGGCTCGAATTCGGTTATTTTGTTAGCCTCATCTTACGCCTTTATTTTCTATTCAATTTTCTGATTGTCGAGCTATATTGAATCCCTTTCATGAATATTAGGATGGTTCCGAAATCTAGCGGAAGTCTGGGGTATCGTAACATATCAATTCATTTGTGCTATGGGCACATGTTTGTATAATCGAAAACCGTTCTTTTCTGGCTTTGCTCGGATCTTTACCTATAGGTTCGAGTAATTTATTCGTCAAGACCAAAGTTCGGTACCGCCCATAATCAGATATTAGATTCTTTCTCAAGGCTGACATCCTCAATATGTTCAACGATTATTGTATTCAAAAAGTTTATACCTCAACTTCACCCCTCCTTCCATTCGGATGATGCAAGTGTGAATGTTAATGAGTGTATTGCCAAGGCTTATATGGATTGGATCTGATACTGACGAATGAAGTCTTACTACCGATTGAGCTTGAATCCAGTAAGTTTAGCTTACTGAAACTGAATTCCATGTATCCAGCTATTAATAAGTCTCGGTTGACATTTATCCAATCCAAAAAAAAACACTCCATATTGCTAAGTGAATAGCAGATTGAATAGAACCAACACTGAATATCAATTATTTACTCTCCAATCGATTAAAAACCAAATCGCAATTCTACAATAATTGAAGAAATATGCTGAGGATGGTGGAGACAGCACATGACACTCCATTTCGGTTGGTGAAAAAGGGGGTTAATCGGTTATTAGTAAGATCGGCATTTGCACTAGGTAAGGCAACTAAAACGTTATCAAGCTATTCTAGCTTCGATTTAAACCAAAAATCAACGTCCCTCATGTTCACTGTATACACTAATCCAGAGCTATTTGAAATTTGACGATACGGATTGGCTGCAAGAGGACAGATAAGAGAACTTAAATTGAGGACACCGTTTAATCAAGAAAACAACTTCGAATGCATGGCACATTTGAGATATGAGACGCAACAAAATCACTTCAAATAGCATGTCACATTTGAGATATGAGACGGAGAATGTTATAAGTTAAAGGATAAATGATAATATAGAACATTAGAAACATTTGAAATCATGAGATAGTAAATTCAAAGAAGCGGCTTCGTCGACAAAGATACCTAACATCTGTTCCTCAATTGGGAAACTTGTGGTGACCAACTAGGCGAAAATGCAATATGACAATGTAATAGATAGTCTGTTACAATGCAGAATTTTGATCTCTATCCTCAAGTTTAGGGTTAGGGTCTGATATAAATAAGTGATTGGTATGAACTCAGATATGTGGTATGTTGTGTCCTATGTACCCCAGGTAGAGTCCAGGTTGTTGGCGCAGGCCAATTGGGGATTACATAATCAATGACATATCATGTGGGGTGTCCTAAGGTTACTTTCCCGTGGTCGTTAGATGACGTCTAGACTACACTACTCTCCTACTGTACTGTAGAAATTTGTGTGCCGAAGTGAACGCTGCGAGTGACGCTAGTACTCAATTCTATATCATCAATTACAACATAATTCTTAACAGAGAAGTGAGTAAAGATTTAATAGTAATGTTTGATATCATATTAAAGCCTGATGCTCAATTAAGAAATATTGCATTCCGCGGGTGATTTTCGGTAAATCTTTTGGTGAATTTGATGCTGAAAACGAAATAAGTAACCGCAAAAAAATGTTTGGTGTGTCCACGGGTGTGTTCGTCCTAGCGCTTGTCCATTGCTAACAGACACCATAACATAAACTTAATTCGAACCAATCTCTTAAAATCATTACATCCCTCCATTGACGACTTTATATCATCCAAGAATGGCTTCAAAAACTTGTAATTCATGTCTGCGAGCGCTGAGACTTCAATCCGGACATACTACCAGGGTAAATAAACCCCCAATTGTTTCAAGAAGCGCAAATACCCATCACTAACCCTCTTCAGAACAGCATTGCGAAATTCAACCCCGCCACCTCACGAGCTTTCGCAGCAGCTAATGATAAATATGCCAATCTCGCAGAGGTCAATCAGAATCATGGGACATCAATCCCTCCCGTCACACCACCTCGTGCTGGAGATAAGACAAAACACTCTGCCTCTGCACATACCTCACCAAGTCTTGCCAGAGAATTCAAAAAGGTTTCAGGCAAAGCCATAACCGAAACATATACCGCATATGGAGCTACAGAAGAGCTTTATAAAACCTGCGGGGCACAGGCAGACTACTCTATACCACAAGCGTCAGATCCAGATGCAGAAATGCCAAAGACAGAAGAGGGTGAAGATTTGGGCGTTGGTAAAGGCTGGTGGCATGATCGTACGTCATTCTCTCCTTCTTAAATGACACATTACCAAGCTAATGATTTTTTTATTTTTAGAACTAGCATTGAAACCTACCTTCAGCACTTGGTCACAGGTAACAATGCTTCATTTATACCTTCTTTCGGTTCGTCTTCGATGTTTCCCAGGTGCCGAGTCGCAGCCTTGGCAACAACATCTTCTCGACCACTTCTTTTATGATGCCGAGAATAAAATGATTATTAATCACAATATGCATGCTCGGGGTACTCGTAACAAATATCTCAAGGATATGTTTGTTCAGTGGCGAGGTCTTCTGGCGGCGTATGATGAGGGGTTGGCCAAGGGTGATGCTGTATTGGCAGCGGCAGTCTGGAGAAATGTCTTCAAGGCAAACGAGGATGTTGATATCAAAGGACTTGCGACGATCGTCAGTTATATGAGACGTACCATGCAGGAGCTGGAGAAACTCTCAGATCAAGACATCATGAGTGGTCAGCTGACCTTTGGTGACCCTGCTGGAGAAGCAAGTCTTGTTGGTATCAAGAGCAAGATGATGGATTTGCCATTGGATCAGGCACCGGGAAAGCCTCTATAGATCTAATGTGAAAAAAGAGGCATGGATAATTATGATTACGCAATCCAAGAGCAGCTTGCTCAAATGTATTTTAAGGTTATGTATTATTAATGAAATCAGCCACTATCAAAATGGCATTACAACTTGCCTTCACAACATGATAAACTGATTTCGAAACACATGAGATGGAATGTATTGGATGGAAAACATTATAAATGGAAACAAATGTACTTTCGGAAAAGGCCTATAGAACTACTATATAGTTGCGAATAACAAGGACTAGCTTCGTACCCTAGGGGGCGGCAAGTACTGTTCCCATAGATATTGAGTGATGTTGATACTCTCGCTTCTCCAATATAGTATCTAGTGGTGGCGGTAGTTATTTATACTCTGGACCTAGTCCCACATTGAAAATTTCAGAACATTATTTCCCATATCGTTATCACCCAACATACTCGGATATAGGACATGAGAGGAAAGAAGTTTAAAGACGAGATACACGTCAACCCGTACAAAAAAGATACATCTTATTCTTAGGGGGCAAGGAAAACTGTAATCCCTCGATAGACATTTGTCTTTTGCACCGACCAACTTGGTTGCAAATTATGGCTTTAAAGTAATTATTCCTGTCAGCGAGGTGTTGGAAAGAGGGTTGGTTACACTAGAACTACTAGATATCTATCTCTCTCCCAGGAATATCAAAATAAGCTGAATAACAAAGTAACATCAAACACCAAATTGAAAGTACAATGTGCTGAAACGAGGGAAAATGAAACGCTTGCTCTTATCGATGCAAAATTTTTGTGGGGTTTGTTTTGATTTGCTTGTGTTTATTGTTGAATTTGTATACCACAACCTAGCCACAACCCTTCAAAGGATACTGAGCCGACGTTTCGAGAGTTTTATAAGTGGTGTGCAAGACAAGCAGAGTTCTTGAATGCTAGGTTTGTAAAGAGAATGATCCAATGGTCAAAGGACCAGTAGTGAGTCCCTTGAGAGCATCGGGAACTGCGTATCCGAACCGACTTGTGAAAACTCCTTCCGGGTATCTTTCTTTGTGTCAGGTCGAGATACGTGAGGGTACTTGGTAGATGATAGGGTTTTCTACGTACAGAATGAGAGAAGAAGACTTATTCGTTGGTTTATTATTGTGTTGTCGGCTCTTTTAGAAATTAGTTTAACTTTCATGCTCCTGCTTATTAGAAGAAGAAAGGTTGACGAGGTTCCGATGTTTCTTTAGGACAAGGAAGAGAAATAGGGAACAAAAAAAGTAACTCCTGAATCCGATCTCAATGAGTCAATAGATTAAAAATTCAGAAACAATTAGTAAAGGAGCTCATTTTTCTCCTCGCTACCGCCTGAGATAAATAATTTCTCGTTATGATTGTTCAATCTATT